TTGAGCAAGCCCCTTGACCTTCTGAGCCGGCCCTGTCCATTGTGAAGGACAACAACTGTCAAGATTGTCTGGAGGGGAGTTAAATGGTGGAGGAAATGTGTTGAATTATTAGTATGGTTTCCGGAAACGGATGAGAGTCTTCCTGGTCAGGGCAGGCAACACTCCTCCACCACCAGCCATGAGACAGACATCCAATGAGGCTACCACTGAATGTTCTGGAACCCTGCTCCCATCTAAAAAGATGTTAGGCTTATTTTATTACTTGATTTACCCTTTGGACTAATGCAAGTTTAGTGGGCTAATTTCAACATTAGTCAGGGGTCAGTCTTTAGCCTGAGCATAAACCGACCAATATTTTCTTGCCTAATCCTCTTTATTTCCAGCCGCACAGAACCACAAAATGCAACAAGAGAAGTTCTCCCTCTCTCCATATGCCTTCAGGGGCTGAAGATAAATTCTCCTTCCCTAAGATATGCATGCAGGATGGCAGGGGTGACTTCTCTAGAACTTGGTCATATTCAGATCAACAAAGGTTTTCTAACTCCATTTCAGAATTTAGTAGATGTGTAGGTCAGAATGTGTATTCTCTTCCCCTCCCCATTACCAAATTCTTCTGTTGAATCCGAGTCCCCATGGTCTTAATATTAGGAGATGAGGACTTCGGGAGGTATTCAGATTGGATTAGTGCCATTATAAGAGGGATCCCAGGGAACTCCTTTGCTCCTTCCACTCTGCAAGGACACAGCATGAAGGCACCATCTATGAACCAGAAAGTGGACCCACTGAACACCAAATCTGCGGGCACCTTGATCTTGCGCTTCCCAGCCTGCGGAACTGAGAAATTAATTCTGCTGTTTATAAGCCTCCCAGTCGATGGTATTTTGTTGTAGAAGCTTGAGCTGATCAAGACTGGCAAATACAGCTAATCCGAATTACCAAAAGCCTTTTGATAATTTCAGGAAGTACTTTATTATTCACATTACTAACCTATTCAAGGATATTTATTCTAACAATTATATATGTGTACACATATGTGATTTTATATTATATAAAATCTGTCTGTATCTATCAAGTGTCTATCATTTATCCATCCTGTTCACGTAACCCCACCTCAACTCACCAGATTTAATTTATGGTGGTTAATAGTGCTTCTGTGGCACCTCTAAATCCTGCAACCAAATATATAAAAGAACCCTCTGCCTGCCCAACCAATTTAGCAGAAAGAAGGAGGAAGAAGAAGTACAGACTGGGCGACCTCCAGGTGGAAAGCCATATTCCCTGAATGACAGCGCCGGGTCCCTGCTGCAAAATCTCATCAGTCCTCACGTGCACTGAGAGGCGCTCAGTCCCTGCTCTCCCTCTTATTTTCAGGAAAAGGACTGTGGAGATCCAAAAAAGACTTAGCCATCGTTCAAGGTCACACACAGACAGCATGGTAAAGAGGCAGAGAGCTGATCATCCCCAGCCCGCGTGGTCACGAAGCCGCTGGGCAGTGATTTCCTCCCTCACTGAGGACTCTGGGCAGCCGACCCCTGTCAGAGAGCTTGGGTCTCTTGGGAAATGTGACAGTCCTTCCCCAATCCCTCCAGACTCCCGTTAGGCATCCAAATGATTCTATTACGGCTTTTAATACCCTCCCATCTCCTGCCAAAGTGGAAGTGGAAGAAATATTCAAAGTCTCAAGAGCACCAAGAGCAAACAACCATTTCCTTTCTTATTTCTCTGAGATGGAAGAAATATCAAAGCCACTTTTGCATCTTGAAATTTAAATTAAAAAGCTGACCTGCTGGATCCGAAGGTCAACTTTCCTCGGTGGCTAGAGCAGAGCTGCCCTGGGTGGGGGTTTAGAGTAAGGCTCCCGTGGGGTCACTTGCAACCGTGGCTGTGCGACTAAACTGGTTTGAAAACTAAAGACGACGTTAGTTTGAAAAACCTCTAACCACTTTCTGTCGGAATTTTCTTATTTAAAAATAATCCTCAAATTATTGGCAATATTTGTTTTCCTTTCACGAAACCTTACGCACCATCTGTGTTAACAATGAATCTTCTATTACAGTGATTCAGAAAGGGAGGGAGCTAGTCCCCCAAGAGACACTTGGTGATATCTGGAGAAAACTTTGGTTGTTACAACTGAGGAGGGGTGGTGTGGTCTAGTGGGTGGGGACCAGAGATGTTGGTAAACATCATAGGATGCAGAGCGCTGACCCCGCAAGGAAGAATGGCCCAACCCAAATCCTCACTGGTGGTGGTGGGGGGGAGCCCTGCCCCGGGGCGGTGTCAGTGAACCTGTGAGCTCACACTCAGTCCTTTCCCCCTCTTCTGCCCTGTCCCCCACTCCCGCCCTTCCAAGGCTTGTGGCTGTTAGCAGGCTACATATCATAATAGCTTCAACCAAAGGATATTTTCCAGATCTTTCAAATCTCCAAATGTTGAATACCTGGAGTATGAAAAGGCTATTGCGGTTCATTTTATTATTAGCATTATAAACGGAGTCCGGAGTGCTTCTATTGTGAATCTGTCTGTATTCACTCTCGGCTGTGAATGGAAGCCCAGCACACGAAGGCCACCCGTTACCCTTCCTGGGAGAGGTTATGCCAGCTGGTTGGGCGCTCTCTGTTCTATTAAGGTTGAAGCCAGGCTTCCCCGTCAGAACATTACTGTGAAACGCATTTGGATCCGTGAGCAGTGAGCCCAGGCTTCCGTCCCAAATGGCTCACTGTGAGCAGAGCAGAGAGCGGATCTGGACCACTGGAGCATGTCCCTCTGCCACCCCTGAGCATCCTCCCTATTATCCACTCAGACCTGGGAGAGCTGCCTACCTGACAGCTAACAGCTGCTGGGGGACACCTGTAACTGTGTCAGGATGCTGTCTAGGGACGGTGCAGAGGCAAGAAGAAAAAGTCCTAAAACCCTCTTCTTTGTATGCTTCCAATTCCCACAGCCCGTGCTGTGACATTGGAGCTCTCTGTCCTTCACCTGTCTTCCGTGTGTTGCCAACTTTGCTGTTGGGATGAGGACAAAGCTCCTTCAGTGTTAGCAGTCCTGCCCATGCCCTTTGCTCTCTTCACTCCTGACATGTTGACCTTGGTGTCCTCATGTAAATCACATTCTGTCACCACAGGGCCTTTGCACAAACTGTTCTTATATCCTCTTCTGCTTTGCCCTTTACCTAGTTAACTCACTTGCTCACTTAACAGCTTTCAGCCCAGTTATCACATCCTCAAAGACACTTCCTTAGCTTCCCTAAGTCAAATCCTTCTAATACACATTTTTTTGTGGCACTACGTTCTCCTTTCAGAGCACTCACACTGGTACAGGTTTACGATTATGTGCATATTCATTGAAATAACATCTGGGGTTCAGACATATCTTTGCATCCTAAACTCCAACCCCAACGCTCTGCATAGAGTTGTTACTAGGTAACTACTTCTTGCCTAACTACTTAATTTAAAAAATGAGCAAATTAATGAGAAAACACACACATAAATGAAAGAAAAATCATCCTAAGATCTAAAATCAGGAGCCGAGTTGTAGCTCTGAAGCTGTGTGCACGCTGAGTGGACTGTCAGTATTTGGTAGACTGTTGCATAGAGAAGAGGAACCTTGCCTACAAAACATGGAACTCAGAAGACATTGTAGACCTCTCTTAGAGCACCATTAGGTCAGAGAACAACTCCCACACTGTGCTCTGTGATGAAGCCAACATCCAAATTCTCATTGCAAACTTGGCTCCCCTGGAATTTACCATTCTTCCTTCTCCTGTCCTTGTTGCTTCCTCTAATTGAAGAATCCCCAGCTGCACCATGGCTTTATTTTTTTTCCACTGAGGTGAACCTTCCATCTTCAGTGGTACGTTGTGCAATACCCACAGGCCAGAGCTACTGCGTGAGATACTTAAATATGGCTCTGAGAAATGAGTCTGTCTTAGATATAAAAGCCTACAGTCCCATGATGAACATGACTGCAATGTTTAAAATTCCTAAATAAAGAGATGAAGCACTTTCTGCATATTCATTGCTGAAATGAGCATTATATACGATGCTTGATTTTGTAAGCATTCAAATACAGCAGAAGGAGAGAATGTAGATTTACTTATTTTTATCAATGAAAACAACTCTTCTTGACCAAAGGAAGAATTGTTTCCTCGAGTACAAAGAGCAATATGTACACAGAAGGCAGTTCTGGGTGTTAGTCTCCAAGCAAAGCTTTATTTTCATATTATTGTGTCATTTTATGCACAGTCCCCAAGTGCCTTGTCAGTGGCAGCCACTCATTAAATCATTTGAACTATCATATAAAAATAAAGATGGATTTTAAGCTACACTGAGCCAGTCAGTCAGTTAGCAAATACCGATTGCTCCCCGTGGGATCCCAAGTGTTCTTTCAGGTGAAGGAAGTACATATGAAAGAAGTACTTGGTCCGTTACCTTGAGAGGGCTCAGGGACTAATCGAAGTGAAAAAAATAGATGAACCTACAATCAAAATAAAATTACTCAGATAAATGCCGTCTTTGCAAAAGGGATTGAAGGTCAACAGTGGATCAGTATTCAGACCCAACCAAAATGGCTGCAGTTCCTCTGCCAAACAGGTGGAAGTTGTTCCATGAGTTTGCAACAGATTTGGTGGAAGATTTGGAAGCTGAATGAAGAACCTCCAAGGGTCAACTTGCTTAGTAAAGGGTTGAGCTTCTCCAAACTGGGACCGGTGATGCCCCAGGATAAACTTGGTATAACTTCCACAAGTATCATCTCCTCATCTGATCAAAACTTGATAAATTTTCAACATGGAAACAAGTGTGACTCTCAAAGGGAAGAATAAAACTTCTAGAAAAAAAAAGACCCCTAAAAATGTGGAGCAAGAGAAGAAGAGAGAAGTCAAGTTGGTTTAATCCCTCTGGAAAACTGGAAAACTTGACTAAGTTGAAGTATGCCAAATTTATCACTTTGCAATCCACCTCTAGGCATATACAGTCCAATTCATATTCATGTGTACCAACCAATATTTACAAGAATGTTTATTGCCGTGTTGTTGATAAACAACCAACCATCGGGTACAACGTCATCATCAATGAGATGCATACATAAACTTAGATGCACTCCTATAATAGGAATACTACCTAGCATTAAAAATTGGTGACCAAGAACAACACACAGTGTCGCAGATGAATCTCATATACATATTGAATGAAAGAAGCCATGCATAAATGAATTTATAGTCTTTGGTTCTATTTACATTAAATTTAAAAACCAGCAAAACCAAACAATAGTATCTGTGGCCAGAAGAGTGGTTTGTTCCCTTTGGAGAGAAGATAGCGAGGCACAAGGCAGGGGTCAGGGGCATTTGTTTATCTTATATTCTTATGTTTTAACAATTCACAAAGCTGAATGTTTATTTTTTAAATGCATTTTGAAGTTCGTGTTCTACATAAATCATATTTCAATGATCAGACCTTTTCTTTTAAAGCATGTAAAACTCTAAAAATAAAAACACTGGAATTCAAAGAAATGCATTGCTAGTGGGTGAGACTCCCTCCTACTCCAGCTGCCCCAAATCTGCAGAAGTAGGCTTTGGCTGGTTATGATCGAGGTCAAGAGCCTCGGATTGGTGAGGGTAGTCGGGGTGAGGTGGTGATCACCACAGAAGACCCGGGAGCTGGAAAGCAGGGAGCCACTGACCAGGTTCTCTTCGCATCCCAGGGGGCGGTGCCAGAAGTAGGCACCAGACCAGTGTTTGCCTGAAGAAACTGAGGAACTGGAGAGAAGCTGGAGGGCAGAGCCAGGTAAATGGACTGATGGCAGACATAACTGGTGAGGCAGGAAAGAGGAAGCAACTGCAGATATGTCGCCCAAAAGTCCAGGAATAGGTTACAAAATGGAAAGATGTGTTGACCTCTGGGGGAAGGGGGCTACTGGCTGGCTCGCCCTGTTGGATCAGGTTGTTGCACTGAGACTCAAGCAGTCTTAAGAGTTCTGAATTTGACCCTGGGCTTGACAATAAGGTATACTTCTCAAGGCAGGAGGATAGGACACAATTTATGAAGCTGTTTGGTAGCTTGATTTATGACTTGTACATATTTGGGCCTGTGCCTGGCTGGCCTGCATTTGTACTTTCACCCCAGGGCCTGGGACTGTGGAGGGAAATTCTGCCAGAGCCCTGTGTTCTGCTTTCAGGAGAGACTGCCTCTCAGGCAGATGCCTATTTTGGCCATGGCTCTAGCTCACCCAGAGTCCTTAGGAACACAGAATTTGACATATCAATGCTAGTTGTCTGCTGTCCCTGGGCCTCACTGTGAACAAGGTCCACAATGATAAGCATGGCTTCTGATTTGCGATGGTTAGAATGTTCCTTCCCAATCCACCTGCTGGAGAGTTCCCAAATTGATATGGTGATGATATTAGAGGTGGAGCCTTTGGAAGGTAATTAGGATTAGATGAGGCCACGAGTGTGGGGACACCATGATGGTATTCGTGGCTCTTTAGAAAGGGGAAGAAAGGTCCCATCTAGTACACATGCTTTCTCGCTGTAGGATGCAGCAGGAAGGCCCTCGCCAGGTGCTGAACAGACACTAGCTCCAGGTTTTGGAGCTTCCCAGCTTCCAGAACTGTGAGCCAAATGAACCTCAGATCTCTATAAACTACCCAGTCTGTGCTACTAGGTTATATCAACAGCAAGAAGACTGTAAAATGTTGAACAGGGCATGAGAAAGTCCATGGTCTCAAGGCAGCATGTTAGAGATCCCCCTAAGATTGACATCCGCTCCTTCACCCACATACATTGGAGGTGGTAGTGTGACCAGCAGAACCCCCAATCAGTTCTGTCCTATCCAAGAGGATGTGGTGAAAAGTTTTTGAACTCTGCTGAAATCAATGCACGTGGTGTCTCTGACAGGCTGCTGTCCTCATCCTCAGGGCTCCTGCAGAGAAGAGAGAGTGGCTTCATCAGAATGCCCTGGTTTCTGGTGCTCTCTGTCTCTGTCCATTCCATAGTGGATCCTCTTGACACAGGGATTCAGGATAAAGAGCGAGAAATACTGAATCTTAAAGAAAACTCCCACAAGCCATTGAGATGCAGAAAGCACACTTGTAAATCTCGAGTAACATGCTCTTGGCCATGCCCTTGTTTAATGAGGGAAATACACAAGCACAGGAAAAACTGGCATGAATTGTGCTTCACCCTGGTCCTACCTCCAGTCCAGCCCTTAACTAGAGCCAGTTTATAAATATCAGACCCCAGCCCGAGGTGGGGCTCTCACTCTTGAGATAGCCCACATTGCCTCTTTAGTGTGTATCTACCTTCCTAATAAACCTCTGTTTGTGTCTTTTTCTGGCTTATGCTGCAATTCTTTTCTGTGACATATGCCAAGAACCTCTCTCTTCTGGGAACCCCTTGAACCCTTCTCTAGAGACATCTTTTCTCCTGACACTCCTACCATGTGCTCCACTGAGTTGATGATAGCAGTTGAATTTGACCAACTAATAAAGGTGGAGTCACTCCAGGTAATGAGGGAATCTTCAGGGTGGTCTCTGAAGTTCCTGGTGCAATGGAAAAGATGGTGATGATGCTGAATAGGCCAAGGACAGAGGTCAGTAAGCTTTTTCTGTAAGATGCCAAATCACAGGTATTTCAGGTTTTGACCGTCAGTCTCTGTTGCAACTCAGCTTGGCTGCAAAATCGGTCATAGTACTATCACCAGCCATCAACAGCATTGAATCGAATGGGCAAGGTTGTGTTCCAATAAAACTTTATTTACAAAAATAAGTGACAAGCCAAATTTGGCATGCCAACAAGTTTGCCCACCCCTGTTCTAAGTACAAACACTCCTTGAAAATAAGCAAAGAACATTAGGGAACGGATAAATTTTCTGAGTCAGAGAGAGAAACAACCATGATAATACCATGTACAGCATCTCAAGGGGAGCTCAGTGAGCCCTGCAACCTGGAGGTTATCTGAAGAATCTATGGAAAGCACCAACCTCCCTTCTGGGCTCCCATTCGCAAAGTTCCTCCAATCACCGCCTTCTTTCCCAGCCCCTCCCCTTGCCGATGTCCAGGCACTGTGCTGTCTAGCCACACAGCTCTCCCCTGTTCCCCGCTAGCTGTGTTAGATCCAGACTCCAAACCTTCCCCTGCTCTGCTCCCCTCCTCGTGGCTTACCAACCCCTACCCATGGTCCTTCAAAAGATCCGTGAGTGCCTTTGCTTTGGATTCTCCCAGGCACCTCAAGCTGGGCTCACTTCCCACTTCCGTGTGGGCAGAGTGCTTTGTCCAGAGCTGGAATTCATCAGTGCAACGTCAGAGCGACCTCTTCTAATCCCTCTCTCATGGCTCAACCTTATCTTGTGCAGTGTTCTTTTTAATCTGCTCATCCCTCACGGGGTTAAGAGCTCCTTTCAAACTTGGGATATGCCTTATTAGTCTTTGTTTACTCCAGGGTCAGCTCGGAATCGTGCACAGAAAGGATGCTGAGCGCACGTGTGCACACTGGTTTAACTCGTTAGTAGAATCTGATGGAGCAAAGGCCAGGGGATCCCATGGAATGAGTCACGGTTTAGGTTGTCTGCTACATTCATAAGACACTTTCAGTGACTTAATAAGCAACTCTTGGGAACTGTTCACAAATGATGGAATATTATCAGAATCTAATCAGGTTCAGGGGTGAAAATACAAATCTCTCCTCCACCTATGTCCTATGTTTCCTTCAAGTCACACACACACAAATAATTGTTTTAGGTAATGTGTATTGTTTTACACAGGCATTTTCTCTTTCAAAGGTATCTTGTGGAAATCTCATTCTCATATTGGATATGGGACTATGTTACATCTTTTAAAAAGATTTCCGAGAGCTAGCGATTTGATCTCCAGTTCCGCATAGAACACTGGAGGGGTAATTTATTCTGTGGAACCCCGGTGGCCTCGAAGTGTGCCTGCAAGCTTTCCAAAGCACTTCCTAGATGATCTCTCAGAGAGTTAAATCCGGGCAAAAATCGGGCCCCTGACATGACAGATCCTCAGACCTGCTCCTACATTGATTATCCAGGGAAAAGGACAAACTGGTGTTTGAGATTTGCACACATGAGGTTGGTAACTGAACCCTACCACATCACCAGGTTCTCGGCAGTGTTTGCTTTCCAGGTACTGTTCTTTCTGAACAAGTAAATGGGACAAATGGCCCAAGCAGGGCAGGGGTGGGTCAGATGCGTAGTCCTGCACCGCCCAAGCCTCACCCCACGGGTGATAGGGCCACTTCCCCTTACTGTACCGTTAATCCTGGCTTTGGATTTGGGGTAGGGGCTGCGGCAGTGGGGTCACTTTTTTGTACCTTGTAGGCACCTCAGAGACCAAGAGCAGGCCAAGGAAGTCCAAGGCGAACACCTCAAAGGCTTGGCATGCCCATACCTTGGTGGATCCTCACTTCCTCTAGAACTGCAGAGGGCTCTTTTTACTCCTTATTTATTTACTCCAAGAATTATTAGGCAGACTTCAGGCCTGTAGGAATCTTCTCCAGCAGCCGGTGTTGGCTGTCCTGCCCCAGTTGGGCAGCAGCATTGTCCCCTCCCCTGTAGCCCAGTTTGTCCCTCACTGGCCCCACCTGCTCCTCTGGAACCCGCCTAAGAGATCTCCCAGGCAGCTGCCATTCACAGGGGCCACCTCCTCCAGGTCAGGGAGGCCACAAAAACGAGTGAGGGAAAGCGAAAGGGTGGAAATTAGTTTCTTTTAGCTTGTCTGATCTCCTCTGGGCCTGGGATCGGCAGGGCATAAATAGGTAATCAAAGATTTTTACTTGCCAGGTAGGAATTGTATAATCAGAGGCCGTGTCTTCCTTTGTGTTTCTGAAACTTGGCTGGAAGAAAATTCTCCTGAGTTCTCAATTCACCGAGCATTCTGCCTCTGCTTTTACTTGGAGATTTTTCAGCTCTTTAAGCTAACAGGGTCCAAAGCTAATCAGAGAGTCTTGTGCAAGCTAATAAACACGCTGGGGCTTTAAAAATACATCCTTTAGGATCTCTGTGTGTGTGTGCATTGTGTGTGCGCTTGTGAAGAGCCATCACACAATGACACAGATAACCCATTTCAAAAATAGCCTTGGCTGGGTTATAACCTAGCTCCGTGGTCCTGGGTTCGCTCCCCAGCACCAAAACGATGATAGAAGCAACAACAACAAAAAACAAAAATAATCTTGTTTCCTTCTCTAGGATCCACTGAACCCAAGAACGTGGACCCTTCCCCTCTCCACTCCAGAGTTTCAAAGGTAAAGAATTGCTCTGCTTCCAGTCCATTCTGGGGAAGGGGGACTTTTCAGTTCGGGGTCACTGAGGAAATGATGTCTTCTCTTGGTGTATTAATTGCATTCCCCATTGCCATGACTCCCAGCTCCACACTCCACCCTGGACCCTCTTATCCACCCTCCTCTGGACACATCTGCCCATCCATCCTCAGGCATCCCCAGCTCACCTTGTCCAGGGGGAATGTCCCCTCTGTCCCACCCTCTCTGGGCCCAGCTTTTCCTTTAGCATTTCCCATGACACTGCAAGTATTTCCAGTCATCTGAATGAGAAACCTGCTGCCCTTAGTCAGAATTATTTTCTGCACAGGAAACGAGTCTTATTCTCTGTGACTAGTCTGGCCCACAGAGCATTGGGCACCCAGGGAAGCCTCCTGATTCTTGCTTGTATTCACATCTGGGCAGTTTTCTCAGTTCCATTCCCTCTCCTCTGGCCCTGGTTTGGCACTTTGAGTCTTTCCTGGATCTTAGCAGATGCTGGGTGGAAGTGCAGTTCAGAGCATCAGCCCCCAGGACCAGGATACCTGTGTTCAAACTACCTCGACCCTGTCTGCTCGGTGACCTGAGTCACATCACTGAACAATGCCTCCTGGGTGCTTGGAAAGAACAGGGAAACTTCTTATAAAGGATCAAGCAGTAAATATTTCTGGTTTCGTGGTTGCAAAGCAAAATTGAGGCTGTTATTTAGGTACTTATAAAACTAGAGAAAAAAAATAAATATTTGCAACATAAAAATCACTGACAGAATTAATGCTGTCGTCACTGGAGTGGGTTCCTGATGAGAGGGTCAGCCTTCTCTGCTCTTTCTCTTTTGTGCTTTTCTTGCTCCCGTGGTATCTCCTGCCACGTTATAGTGGAGCAAGAAGCCCTCACAGATGTGGCCCCCTTGATCTGGGACTTCCCAGTCTCCAGAACTGTGAGCCAAATAAAGTTCTGTTGTTTATCAATCACCCTGTCTCGGGTGCTCTGTTATAGCACCACAAGATGAACTAAAACAAGTTCCTTGAGAGACTTGCCCACTCCCTCCTCAAGGCACTGCTCAGCATGGCCCTTTGCAGAGCTGACCCCTGCCTCTCTAATATTCAGTTGTTGATTTTTCTTTCTCTTTTTTAAAAAAGGGAAGTAAAAACTGCAAGCAAAGACTCCGCATTGCTCACAACATCTCCAGCTCTGTGCCTGATTATATTATGTGCTCCTTAAATACTGGCTGAATAAACAAATGAACCTCCTACCCTCAAATGGATGACTCGACAGAGAACCTCTTTGACGGCTCCAGTTCCCCGGGAAGTCTTGCTCTTTGAGTAATGGATGCATTTGGTCCTCATTGATTTTCTTAGAGGAGACACCTTATGGGATAATGACGAAGAGCCTTGGCTCTGGGCACAAACTCCAGCTCCACCACTTCCTAATTTTGAAGTTTGCACAAGTTCCTTAACTTCTCTGAACTTCCGTTTCTTTGCTGCTAAAACGGGGATGTCATGATCTATTTTCTGCTGCTATCACAGAATGCCACCGAGAGAGAAAAGGACAAACAATGGAAGTTGATTTGGCTCAAAGTCCTGCAGGATGGTGAATACGAGATCAAGGGGCCACATCTGGGGAGGGCCTCTTGCTGTGTCTAAGCATGGCGAAGGCATCACAAGGTGAGAGAGAATGAAAGAGAGAGAGAAAGGGAGAAAGAAAGGCCAAACTCCCTCTCTTTAGAACTTCTGTGACAACATTGATCCATTTAAGAGGACTGAGATCTCATGACCTCGTCACCTCTTAAAGGTCCCACCTCTTAATACTCCTACAATAGCAAGTCATCGCGACATTAGTTTTTGTGAGACATTTAGACCACAGTCGGGGATAATGGTCATCCCCATCTCCTTTGTTATCAGCAAATTGGGCGAGATAAAGCCGAGAAGAGCTTCGTGTAGCAAGTGTTCTATGAACGTCTGTTGCTTTGCTCATATGCATTGAACCATGACCACATTTTAAAGCCCTTTCATTAATTTGTTTATTCCTCCCAAACACACTATGAAGTCATTACTATTGCTAGTCCCATGTTACAGATGAGAAAACGGAGGCACAGACAGGTTGGATGACTTGCCCAAATCACACAGAGTGGCAGAGCCAGGGTTCAAATCCAATCCACCTGAATCCCAAAGGGTTGCTTGCCCTTGTTCTAAGTGTCTTTCCCTGCATAGAGATGCAGTTTTTAAGTCCTTTGAGAGTCAGGAATGAGGTCCACCCTTCCCAGCCTCCAGCACAGCACCTGCACTTGGAGTAGCTCACATCCATCTGTTAATTCATTCTCTCGTTCTTCCTCTGTCCTGATCCAGGATAGAATGTTCTAGAGAGATTTCCTCCTGGCCAGGGGTAATCACCTATGAACACCTTTGTGTCTTAGAGAAAGGGACAGGAAGGAAAAAAGAAAAGGAGAGAAGCATAAGGAGGAGGTGCATGCTCAAAAGGCAGCGGTGGAATCAGAGCTGACCTCCTTCTGGTCCCTGCCTCCCGGGGAGCACCAACCCCACCACCAGTGAGCGGCTCTGAGCGCCCGACCAAATGCAGGCTAACTCCACTGATTGTCTGTAACACGATTGTCCCTCTTAATCAAAGTGATGTCATTCTCTGATTTCAAAAAGTGAAGGATGGCAAAATTAACGATGGTTGGAGTGGGCTAATGGTCGCGGGCGGCCGAGGGGCTGCGGGCTGCAGAGCTGCTGCATTTCAATGATGTGCACCGGGATTTCTTCGCTAACAAGGGTGCCGTAAGTCTTAATTACCCAGAACTAAGGCCTCACCTTGCTGCGTGTCCCCTGGGAGCTCCCTGTGAAGTCAGTGGGAGCTTTGCCTGCAGTTCAGCCCCGTGAAAAGTTGCCTGCAAATGTTTGCAAATTGCCTTGAGTGCCTCTGAAGGAAACAGGAGGGAATTATTTATTTTTAGACTGTTGGCATAGCCCTGTCCCTGGCTTGCCTGTCACAGACTCCAGTGTGACTCAAATCCTACTCCCTTTGCCTCTGATTAATTCTGAACTGCGGGCCTCTTCTTCATGGTTGATGGAGACACCTTGGAGGTCCTGCCCCCAGCCAAGCCATGGAAATGTCCTGTTGCTCCTGCCTCTGACTTAGCAGACACCTCTAAAAAGCCTAATGCGTTTTCCATTAGAGAGACTGATTAGGCCTTCCCTTCTCAGCAATGGAAAGCAATCTCCCCCATGCAGAGGACATCAGGAGCCCCCAAAACAAAGCAAACCTGTTTCCCTCCAAACGTAGATCGTGGTAATGTCTCTGGGCTCCTGCACCCATCCCCCCTGCTGTGATTGTCACCCCTAACAGAACACAGCTGTTCCCTTCTCTGGAGACTTGCCCTGGGAGAAAGGCGTCACTCACCTGAAAATGCCTGGGAATGGGGGTTGCCTTCCCTCCAGAGACAGCTCACAGTCACATCTGCCTGATCAGAGGGCACAGAGGGGCAAATCTGCAGCACCGTGCACTCTCCAGAGCTCCCCTGGGAACTGGCTGAAGCCAGACAGCATGGTAGCCTGCCCTGTTTCCCTGGTGCTTTTATAGGCTGGCCTGAGAGTGCTCCCTCAGGAACCCGCCTGCCAAAGAGCCCTGCTCAGACTCAGGCTCTGGGCCACTCACCCAAAGGGGCCTCCCTAACCACCCCCTTGCAAGCAAAATAATCCTTCAAAACCTAAAGGCTTCAGTGCTTTCCACTGCCCAGACTCTAGAGCCAGGTTCTGTTTCTTCTTCCAGCCTCACCTCCACTGGACCTGGGGCCTCACTTTCTCCAGACATTCCCCCACCCCTGCCACCCTTGGACCTCCCTGCTGACCCATGCCACAGATTCCACCGTGCTAGAGCTGTGGCTTCCTTGTCTTTTCTCCCCTCCAGACTGCAAACTCCCCCGGTGTTCCTACAACCTACTGTGCATCCGGTGCACGTGAGCTCTTCAATAATTATCTCTTGATTGATGCAATTGAACCCATGAATGACGGAACCAGATACTTCATAAATGTTTCATAGTAACAGCTAAATTCCAACTTCAAGTTAATATAATATCAATATTTGCTTCCTTGTGGGTTAAAGCTCTCCTAAATAGAAAAATTCACTGGGAATATATTAAAATAATTAAATGCTTTCCATACAGGCATGTATGTGGCTTGGTTAAGATGTCCAGTACAATTATGTCCAAATGGATGCTGACGCTCCCAGTTTTTGTTTCTTCTGGACCCTGAGCTGACAATCAAAGCCTTCCCAGCCACCACTGACTAGAATCAATCCTCTGTTGAATTTTAAGCCCCAACGTTGTTGCATGCTCCCAATGACAATAACCAAACAATCAGAAAACACGGTGCAATTCCAAGTGCCAGAACAGCTCTGCTCATCTGAGGAAGAAACCCTTGAACGTCAATGAACCGTGCTTCAAATCTGCCATCTCACTGCTCACTTTTCAGAAAAAGCATCACCCTGCGATTAAGTTGCTCTTGAATGTAAACTTGGTGATGGCCAGAACCCTCTGAGGTTCCGACTTGCCCGGTGGTGCTCACTTTGGCATTGGGTGCCCGGCCGGTGGAGGTGCATTAATTCTCCGCATGGTGACAGGCTGAAACACAAGCGGCATGAACAAATTACCAGTGATAGATATGCAAATGAAACGAGGACAAATATTAAAACAGCCCTATCTCGCTGTGCCGCTACAGCATCTTGTCCAACATTCATGGAAATATTAATCCTTCTGGAATGCTTAGTAATGCATATAGGGGACCGTTCTTTAGGAAGCTAATAATTATCCCTTGTTAGCGAGATCAACTAACTGCAGTCTTTCACTGCGGGGACAGAAAAATATTGTGACTTGCTATGCTGAGTGAAACACGGCGGCAGAATAAATTAGATCATTTAAGCTAACAATAATAAAGACACACAGCTCTACCCCCCTTCTACATATAATTGACAAAATTAACAGAATATAGATGCAGCATTAATAGAAGAATGTATTATGGATGATTGGTGAGACACAAAGGGACAGATCATCGTCCACAGCTATGTCGGTAGAGCTAATATTTATTAGACAACCACTGTGTACAGTACGACTCTTATCAGGAACAAGGATAATAATAAACTACCAGCTGTCAGCCACATGTACAATAACTTCATTAGGTGACTAAGCAGCACCCTTATTAAGTCTTTGCAATCTATTAAATGTCTCATTTTGAAAGAATGAACCAAGAGGAATTTATGAATTGTAGATCCCCAGTATTAACCCAAAGCCTCAGCCTTAGAGAGGAAAAAAAAAAAAATCTTAGGGAAAAAAATTTCATTTCTGCCAAGGAAAATCTAAGAACATAAGTTAGCAGGCTCTACCAGATGCCTCCGGCTGTGCCGTAACAGAGATGAGACAAATATCTAATTTTGCAGGAAAAAATTTATAGACTAGACTTTGAATCAGGCAGAGTCCAAACACCTTTCCTGCCAGGTTCCCAATCAAATGTGAAAGAAATAGCCATGTCCTCACACATCCCAGATCCACCTCTGCTCTCTGGGTCTGATCAGTATCGTGTTCATCACTTCCAAGGGAGTATCCAGACATAACTCACCGACCCCATCACTGGCTTCATTTGCATAGTGGATGCGGTCGATTGTTTGCAGAACTGGCCGTCCTCAGGTCAGTGTATGAACAACTCTCCGCCATGTGGCTTCGCACTGATTCCCGTTAAGAGGTGGGATCTCTTCCTCCTTGCCAGGAATCTGGGAAGGTTCTTTAAGCGCTTTGACCAAAAGAATGCCACTAAAGTGGTGTTTTGGCAACTTCTGAGCCTAGGCCTTGAGAAGTCTTGCAGCATCCATTCCTATGTTCTCAGAACACAGGAAGCCCAGGCTTGCCATCTTGAAGATGAGAAGTCTCACTGAGAGAGAAACCCAGCCAACAGCCACTGTACCAACTGCCAGCCGGGCAAGGCCATCTTGGACCATCTAGTTCCTGTTATGCTGCCAGGTGAGTAATTGACTCCAGAAAAGACCATCCAGTTTATCCCAGAGCAAGCTGCTGACCCTCAGAACCATGAACAAACAATCGTATCCTGAACCACTCCAGTCTGGAGCAGATTGTTAGGCAGCGACGAGGATCAGGTAATGAAGAGCGTGGTGGACGCTACGGCGTTCTGTGCGATGCTTAAAACAGTGAGTCCACTCTAAGCCCTTCTGCGGAATGCCAGCCTCCAGGACTGCTGAATTGTGAAGCAAAGGAATTTCTTCTCATTTCTTCCCCATCACCTCTCAAAGCAATTCACACCGAGACTGAACAGTTCAACCTTCCCTCGCCGAGGGGATAAATAAAAACTAAGGGCTCAGAAATGCCCGTTTGGGGGTTGATGGATAGTTTGTTGACAGTGAGATGTGTTCCAAGGCAGCCTCGGGTCTGCGTGAGATCTACATGGAGTAGTGTCAGCTTTGACATTGCCATAGCACCAGAGCCAGGGCCCTGGGTCTACAGGAGCGTCCCTGGGACCACTGGATGCTATCTTAGTAGGAATCATCAGAGAAATGAGATCAACAGAATGTATACAGATACCCACAAGGGATGGGTTCCAGGACCCTCCCCCCACACCTCAGAGATATGGAAATCTACAGAGGCTCAAGTCTCTTATGTAAAATGACACAATATCTTTATATAACCTACACACTCTCCCTTATACTTCAGGTCATGTCTAGGTATTGCTTGTAATACCCAGTACAATGTAAACACTATGTAAATAGTTGTTAGACTATATTATGTAGGGAATGGTAACAAGGAAAGTCTTTACACTACTGACGCCATTCCTTCCCTAAACATTGTTGATCTGTGGTTGGTTGTGGAACCTTCAGGTGTAGACCTTCAAGTCTATGAAACCCGTGGAGTGGGCTGGCGGGGCGGAGAGGCTGCCCAGGGTTTCAGTTCAAGTTCAGAGGCAGTCTGTGGGTAGAACTTCCTCTTCTCCAAGGGAGCCTCATCTTTGTCTCTTGAGGATCATTGGCTTCACTCAAGGTCTCCTGGTTTATGTGTTCACATCACCTAACACACGGAGAGTCTTCACAGAACTACCTAGAATCATGTCTGACCCCATTTCCCGGTACTGTGGCTCAGCCAGGTTGATACATTAAATCAACCATCACAGGTGGTCTTGGGTCGTACCCCCACAAAAGATGCACTGAAGTCCAGCCCCTGGGGCTTCAGGAGGTGCCTGGTTTGGAGATAGACTCTTTACTGAGGAAATCAGGTTAAAACGAGGCCACAGTCAGATCCAATGTAATTGGTAACCTGATGAAGAGGGGAATGTGGACAAGAGCAGACCTGGCAGAGGGCAGACAGTGTGAAGACACCCAGGGAGAGATGCTCGAGACCTGGAGAGATGCATCCGATGGCGGGGAAGCACCCAAAGCCACCAGAGGCAGGGAAGGATCCTCCCTCCAGTTGCCTTGAGAGCCTGGCCCGGCTGACTCCTTAGATCCCAGCCTCCAGAGCCAGGGCAACAGACTCCTGTTTTAAGCCTGGAGCATCGGGAACTCTGTTAGGAGCTGGGAACCTGTGTCCAGGTGGGGTAGGAGAGCACAGTCACCTGTATGTACCTCGCCCGGGCATGCAGCTAGGGAGAG